AAGAGGAACAGACAGAGTAACACCACCCAAGCAAAAGAGCAGGTATGCAGTCCCTGGCCTATCAAAGCCTGAAATTACAGTTTCCTACCTGCCTAGGCACGAGCAGGTATTTGTGGTGTACCACAGAAGGCAAAGAAGCAGAAACCTTTGAGGAAGGACTTGGAGAGGACAAAGAACTGCACAGTGGATTTCTACTGCAACTTGTAAAGGGGAATTCTGACAAGAGAAGCATAAAAAGGGTTCTTAACTCACCTAAGACTTAGTGATCATGGCTGGTATCCCTTAGTGAAACAACACTGAGATTCAGCTGGTTGGATGTCAGATCTGATCAGAAGGGGGAGACCAAACTGATGAGAGCTTAGAAAAAAAGGAAGTTTTTGTGACTAAAGTAGTCAGTGACTAAAATAGGAAAGATGGTAAGGACAGAACAGAGAACTGCACAAATCATCTTAGGAACATRAGTTTGGTGGATAAGAGGAGCTGATATTACAAGTGTCAAGATGACTGGAGGGAAGTTAACAGTATTCAAGATGAAAAATGTGCTTGGGGCTTGCAGTCCTCGYAGGGAGAAAAGGGTAGATGGGGTAGAAAGGGTAGAAAAGGGTCTTGATGTCTCCGTGAAAACCACCTGCCTGGCTTACAAATAGATTTGTGTTTCAGAGGGGAGGGCCAAGTCAAAACCAGCATGTTTTAGGAATTCAACTGACACAACAAAATAGGCATTATACAATAATTAATTATTTTGGAAGAATATAAAGAATGGAAACATGACAATCAGTCACTGTGTAATATAAAAATTGTACCTCTTTTTTGATTTGAATAAAAGGATTTGCTTGTATCTCTTCCTCTGCAGGCAATTCTTCGTCCCYTGGTAGCAAGGACTGTGATATCTTTATCAAGGAAGTTCTTCCACCTTTGACAAGGCAATTTCTTCCTTATTTGCACTGTGTTTGACTGTATTCTTCCAGTATTTGTGAGTAAATATCCTATATTGTAATTTAGACATGGAAGAATCTCTGGAATGAGTTTTGTCAGTGTGCAACGTAACAGATCATGCCGATTCCTTCTCTTTTTTACATCATCCAATACTGTATTTAATATCTAATACCTAATAAAGTTCACAGTTCTCAATTGAAAACCTGTCTCCTCCTGCTATTTGAAAGTGTATTAGAAAAAAAAACAAGATGAAGTTATCTTAGTAACTTAATAATGTTATTATAAGATTATCCTATTTTATCTTAATAACTTATGAAGTTTCCAAGTTTCAGCTTCAGCTACTTTGTGTTATTATCATGTTACAATGACAATCTTGCAAAGTCAGCTCCGTTCACTCAGTCCTCCCATTGAGATCTGGTTTCTACATCTCCGAAAGTCCCTATATGGTTTCGTAAAATATACCATAAAGAAGGTAACAACCCCAAACCTATGTGGAGCTGCTGCACCAACCTCTGGTAGCTGGAGAACAGTCCTTTCCTGATCTCCCTTACAACTACAGGTATTTTGGAGGTCAAGAACAACACGTGAGTCATTGTGGGCACCGATCCATCACTTTGGGAGATGGTGGTGACCGCAGTGATTGGTCCCTGACCACAGTTCAGGTGCTGTGAGGGCTCAACAGCAGAACAACCCGCTGGCTCCGGCCCCGCAGGGCTCTGCCCAGCCATTTACTAGCAGCACTTCCCAGCGCTGCTGCGGTCAAGCTGCTGCTGTCAGAAAGGGAGGTAAAGCTCATCCCTGCTCAAGCATCCGCTCTTATCACACAAAAGGCCTAATCCTGAAATACAGCAAAAAAAGGAGATCAGAAATAAAACTCTCCGTTTAATGCTAAAAAAAAAAAGAAAAGAAAAGAAAAAGAAAAAGAAAAAAAGAAAAAAAAGGCATCCAGCCATTTATTTTTCTCTTATTAGATCTGTCACTAGATAAGTCAGACTGCTGGCACAGATGCGGTTTTATTCATGCTTTCCAGTTTTCAATCTGAGCAAATATTCCAGTTTTATTCCCATACTGTGAGTTGCTCTTGAGGAAAAGATGAGAGTTTAATCAGCTTCCTAGACCATGTTCCTAGGACACCTCCATGTCATGCTCTAGAAGTGCCACAGCTCCACTCATAGCCATGATCCCTGGTCAGAAACACCAATTTAAGAGCACGTTTCCCTCAAAATGCATTAGCTTCTATACAGATCAATTAAGACACAGAAAGTTCTCACAGGGAAACTATAAATAGAAGTTCAAGCTGTGCAAGAGTCTTTGCAAGTTATTTTTATTTAATAAGTAACTATATCCAAAAAATTACCCGTGGACGAGTCAGGAAAACACACAGAAACATAAAAGCAGCTCAGCAAATCTGTATTTAATAAATTCATAGCAGATGGCTCGTACACCAGGATCACTGTGAATATTTGGAGGCTTTCTATTCACTAGATACACACACTCCAAATACAGATATAACACACTCCAAATACAGATATAAYCTGAAACTGATTGCAAAAACAGAGAAGGGAGGAGGAACCTGGACGTCTAACCCGTCCACCTCACTAGTTTCTAGCAGTCCTTCCTACAACACATCCTTAGCCCATCTCACACTGGCCTCCGTATGGCGAGTATCATTCCAGGCTGATCTTTTAGGCTGCCCTTTCCGAACAAGACACCAATTCTGCTTCCAATCTGACACACGTTGAGCAACACCAGTTCATCCCCATGTTTGTCCTCAGTATGTCTGAGTYGCCAGCAAATCAGGCAACCTGTGACCTCAGCTCTGTCTCTGGAAGAGGAAGGAGGTAACTGTGCTAGGGCTGCTGGTGGCCYGTGAACCAAGTGACGTGATCGGCACCACGGGCCCAAGCACGAACCTCAAGAAGGGACACTATGAATCTCAAGAGCGACACTTCTTCGGTTTTGATTTCTAACTCTAATTTAATTTTTGTTTCTGCATCCCTAATAAAATCAAGCTAACCTAAAAAAATCTTTAACCGTCTTAATGAACTCCTTTTACCAATGATGTGAAGACAAAATTAGGCATTTAAATTCCTGCTGGCTACCTTTACCTGTGTACTACAACCTTTGCAAAAAGTGCCAATAGAGATAGGGATTTCTGTCAAAACACACAATTTAAGATGACATTATCTAAAGTAGCAGATTTTTTTATCTGAAACTTTTTATTAGAAAGAAGTTTACCAGACTTCTCATGGATGTCCAACAAGGACCAAAGAGTTGACCCAACAAGTTGCAATTTAAATAGCTGAGATTCATCTGAAGGAGATTTATGAGGAAACTGATTTGGAATGCTACATTAAATAAATTAGTAGTGACAATTTTTTATGTGTAGTACATTTTAAGAAATAACTACAAAATAAACTAGGAGGTCATAATATTCAAAGTTAAGCCATAAAATTCAAACAAATTATTTGGCTATTTACTGGCAACCCTGTGTTCACATGTCACAACTTGTTTAAGTATTTCTATTTTAGTTTATAGCATTTGGCAACCAGTCTCTTAACTAGAGGGGCTCATAAGGTTAAGGGTGAAGAGTGGTACCATGTTACTAATGCCTATGGTAAGTAGGTAGTTTCAATTTAAAGAAGTTAAATTTAAAAACAGACCCGATGAGCAATTTTTGTATGTAAATATATTCTTCTTAGATAACATGATGTTAAAAACATATGTATTACAAAAGCTAGCAGTGAAATCCTCAAAGAATTCTATTTATTGCAATATTTTCAATAAAAAAATCCTCTTGAATTACCAGGGTTCAGTATTTATGCAACTACAGTCATTCTTATTCTCCAAGAAACAATTGCATATTGAAGTTTTTCCATTAAAAGGTGGATTTTACATTTTACATGGCAACTGTAAGAATGCAACTTGTGCCTGAAACAGCCTATGGCCGAGATACTGCTGATTTTTTTTTTTTTCAGAGGAGAAGCAGCTGTATAATCCTCAAGTTTAAACAAATTGTGCATCCAAAAGTCCATGTCCTTAAAAAACCCAAGACATTAAAAGAAGGCAATAACATGGTGACATGTATAAAGCGCTGCTCCTGGACTATTCTGCTGTATTCACTTGAGATCATTTTTGTTAGTCTTGGGTTTCCACTGTCTTAGGCTGACAGTTACGAGCTGCCATTAACTTACTTCATTGTACATTATTCTCAGTGGTGATGACAGGTCATTTTGAAGGATCCTGCAAATCTTTAAGGGAAGTTGTGCATTTATAGATTAATATGCAGTGCATAATGCACTTTACAGACCTACAAACCATCTTTTGTACCCACTAGAAATAAAATCTCATATTGAATAGGATTTCAATACTTAAGGTATTTACAGCAGCATCAAATTTTTAAATATACTTAAAGAGTTGGATTAGAAATTATATTTCCAAAAGATTTAGGCCTGTGAATGATTTGCTGCCTTAATTCGTTTGACTGAGTATCAGTACTTGGTTATAGTTTTAGCTTACATAGGGGGTAAAGACAGCTTGAAAAGGTATTTAAAGGGATTTAAATAATGTAATAACAGCAATGCTGTAACTATGCACCTGAGCACACTTAATTTTCAGCTGCTTTTGAAAACTAGATTTGCAAGTGCAGGTACACTAGCAATGTGAGCATAAGGGGCAACCTTGCACTTGTACCTGAGCAACCCTAGTTAGGGCTCGTCACGAACATCTGGCAACGTGGGTCTCCAGCTGTGCTCCGGGGCACTCGGAATAAGGARCTCTATGGCATCCACACCTCTTCACGGGAGGACAACCCCTGCTACCCTGAGAAACACACTCACATCTTGCAGCTGCGCTGCAAAACCATCACGTTCACCCAGGCACTGGCAAARATCTTCCCATTTCCTCTCAGTGAATAACGATTCACCCAACTTTTGGGCCAAAAGGTCTCCAACAAATAAATAAAAGCATGATATATTTTATTAAGGAACTACTTTATTATAAAAAGCTACAGATTTCACAAGATGGTCATTTACAAAAAGTAATAAACATGTAGAAAACTTCTGGCTGTATTTATAAATATGTTACTTGCTTTTTTTTCTTAGCAAATTTATTCACAGCTTATTTGCTTGTTGTATCCAAACTAGGCTTGTTTTCTTGCAACCATATGGACATTCTTGACTTAGGTCACAGCTGAAAAATGTAGTTTTCCATAGGACATATTGTATGGTGTGTGATTGAATCTAAAAGAAATAAAAAAGAAGTATTYGGGATAAAATGCACAAAAAGCTGATTATAAAGTGCAGTGTACTTTACAKCAATTTTTGATTCCAAATAGTGATGGAGCTAAGAACAGAGAGAGAAGGACTCTGTGAATAAATGCAAACAAATGACAGTCCAGCAAACACACTTTAGTCTAAAAAAGGTGCTGAATTAACAAYATATTTCTTACTGTTATTTCAAATTTTACCGGTATTTTGATTCAATTATGCTAAGGGGTTTTCCTGTAATTTAGTTTTTTCAGCTGTACATGAAATCTAAGTGAAACGATCACATAAAAGATAAATTCAAAACACTTTCGATGAAATCCTTCCTGATAAAATTACAATGGTAAGTACTAGGGCCAGCAAAAAATTAATCATAGTTTTAATAGAAAGTGTTTTCCATAGCGATGATCTTCCTGAAGATGGAACAACTGTTAAAGTCTATTCCATTTTCTTCTTTCCSTCCTCTCAATTTAGTAATAAGTTTACAGCTAATTTTTGAATACATATTTCRTAATATTTCATACAGATGGAAATTTAGTCTCTTACCTAATATCCATTTTTCTGATATGTATTTTATTTCGTGGTACTTCTTTCCTGGGTATTCTCCTATGCAGATCTTTGCCTGGCGCAAGGCTTTGCATGTTCTTCCTCCTGAGAGCTGTATGAGTTCACCCAGCTTTTGGCAGGGGGGCTGGCTGGTGGGTGACACAAACATCACMGGCTGACTTGAAAAGAGATTCTGCTGATATTTTCCTGGTGATAGATGACGTTGAAGCCTGCAGATCTGTATTGGAGGAAACAACAAAATCAACAGCCAATATGCTTTCACTCCMCTCCAAGTAAAACTAATTATTTTCTTCATGAATTTGGAAGTTGTCATTTWTTTATACAGATGATCATAAAGAAACACAACAGCAAGTTGCACAGCAGAAAAAAAGGCTACTCTGCACACTATCTGTTATATTTACACTGCACGGATAAATAAGAAACTGTAGCCAGTGAAGAGGTGTAACTGGAACAGGGGAAGAAATCATTTGTTGTGTAGATACCTGAGCTCCTCCTCAATTGTGGCACAAACTTGCTGTAAGACCACAGGCCGTTAAGATACTGTAGGAACTTAGCAAGACAACTGCAGCCAGAGAAAGGGTCTTCACGCAGTTCACACGGCTTTAGGAAGCCAAGTGGTTCTGCAGCATTTTGGCGCATCCTTAGGAAGTGGTCGGGCCCTCGTGAGAGCAGCTGGCCGGAGCAGTGGCGAAGTGCGAAGCGGGCGCCGCCAACGCGAGCTCCAGCTCGTGTGGTCTTTGTGCCCTTGTCCCCTCTGCGGGGGACAATGTCAGTCAGTCCTGGCCCCAGTCCTGGGATCTTCCTCCGCCAACAGAGAATTCAACAACTTCTTAACAGCTCCCCAACTTCTCTTTCTGTGAAACAAAGTGGATTCTTGGCCTGCTGAATGCAGCTGGTTACTGAGACTGCTCCACTGAGTTAGGCTGAAAACACTCGAGGAGAACCAGAGACATCCTCTATTTTTTATTCTTCCGTGTATTTTTGTTTCTGAATRTAAAAACACCTAATCCTGCCTCACTGCAGCCAAAGAGCATCCAAATAATTTGGCTGAGCAACAAAGCAGAGCTATATTGCAGACTTGAGAGAACCAGGGCTCACTTCTGATAAAGAGTCCTCAGATTTTGGGCCAGGTTTGTACCATCTCCCTCTACCTGAGCTGCAGAAGGGGGTACACAGAATGTCCTTTTATAAAGACCCAGCTGATGGRCAGGGAATAATTGATGCTTGATGTCCTGGAACATGGAAAATGTATGTACTGTGCAGCTTTCATATGTGGCATCAGATTCGGAATCTGTACAAGCACCACTTGCTGATGGGAGCTTTAGGCTTTGAGGCCACGGCCAGGGTATTAAAAGGGGTCTAGATCAAAAATTTGCAATCTTGGCTTGCAACCTCTGATGTAAAAAGACACTGTCATGATTGTGGTGTTGCTGGGATGGCATTCGTTTTCATAGCTTACGATTGTGAGGCAGCTTCAAAGTGCTGTGGTCAGCTAGGTCAGCAAATGAGAGAAAGCAGTACACTGAACAGCTCAAAAGAGCCTCGTGAGAGACACAACCCCATCTTAGCTGATCTGCCACGCAGGGGATCTCTGCAGTTATTTATTTACATAAAGCAACTGCAATTGAGAGAGGCAAAACAATTACCAAGAAACCGTTGTGATGGTTTATCCACAATAAATCAGCTTTAACTCCAAGGCTCAACACTTTTTATCAGCTTATAGCTTTAAGATTTCAAACATGAAAATGATTAGGACTGAGAAATTGTTATATTAAAAATTCAGCACTTGTGTTAGAGAGAAGACACAAAGTATAACTTGTTGCCATCCTGCTATTTGACATATTTGGTGGAATATGACTTAAAAGGACTAACTGTATTCCAACCTCCTCATGCATTTTCCCTGAAAGCATTTGTTTGTTGTTGCTGTAAAGAAAGCACTTTTGTACAGTCTGTCCTACAGGAAGAACATTTGGATTAAATCAATTTTAAAGKCAAAAACGCACCTAGCTAACCACCAAATCAGGCTGTGGAAATTTGGAGCACTGAAGAACGCTTGCCTCAGCCGATGCGCACAAACAGCGTCTTTATGCCGTGTTTGGCTTAGATTAAAAGGGCCCAAGAAAGCGAAATACCCATATTATACTGAGAAGGTACGTGATTTCTTAAATTTCCTTTAAAATTCCTAGCTGTGGGTGTTATTAGTGCATGGCAATACGAAGCACCCAGCGCSTCTGTGCGATGCCATCACAAGAGGTCCCAGCCTGCAGCTTGGGGCTCGTCCTTCCCGCRCCCGCGGCTCCACGGGGCTCAGGGCTGCAAACACGGAGAGCGTCGCCGTCCTGCAGCTCCAGCCGCGTTTGCCTCCCGCTCCCTGCTCGCAAAGCAACAGCTCCGAGGCTGCTCCAGGTGCTGGTGGGACCCCGGCCCCGCGGCCCCTCYGGAGCTGGGGATCAGGCAGCCTAATCCGGCCCTTACCGTGGAATTGACTCAGCTGCCTYGGCGGCATCAAAGAGCTCAGGGCGCTCCAGGAGCCCCGCGAGCCCTTTGAAACCACACGGATTCTGTGTGAGCTTCAAAAAATAAATAAATAACCCCTCAGCAGAGCCCAAGCCTGGGAAAATTTCAGACCCCAAAACAGCTCGTTTCCAGAAATTGTATCAACTGGCAGTTAGAGCTACAACAGTGTCAGTCTGTATTATTACAGATGGCACTGCTGCCTGCTATGGTATGAGGCAGTGGTGGCAATTTTCCTTTCTAATTTGCTTTTTAGCATATGGTTAGAAAAAATAAGTCTCTTGCAAGAGGGTCCATTTACTCCTTTCATTAAGGCTGTTAAGAACTTACCTCATTCTTTCACTAGATGGATGGATAGGAAGATGCCTAGATGTGTTTGTCAAAAAATCCCACCCAGGAATGTAGAAGTCTCTTTGAATATAAGGTTGAAAAAAATCACTGTTGCCAGAATTAAATCTCACGGAGAATATACGGCAAAGAAATAGAACTTCTTCTCGCTACAGAAACCGTACACGTCACCAACTATTCTCCCTTTTGCATTTCGGTAGTGAAAACTGTTAATCTCATGATTCCTAATATTTCCATAATTCAGCTCGGAAATTACAACAGCAGTAGAAACAAAGTAGTGTAATTTGTTACCCTACGTTGTAGGTACATGTATTGTACATGTATTGAGATCCTGTCACCTACCTGCTCAACTTTGACTCTTGTTCTGAACCTCCCCAAACCAAACACCACTTACTAAACAAACTCTGCAGCTTTGCCCAGAGTGTACAGGAAAATGTACACAGATGTACATGTACACAAATGGACACGGCTAAACTCCTGGTGGGCCCATGTGGAACAAGGACTAAAGCTCAGGTACGAACGGACAAGGATGGGACCTTTTCAGGAGTCTTAGGAAAGAGCATCACGTCCCCAAAAGTTYCCCCCTGATTTCTCAAATCAGGACCAAATTACAGCAGCAAGAAAACATGATCAGAGATCATCTGTTTTATCAAGACATTAACCACTTTTTCCATTCACCTCCTTTTTGGTTTTAATTCTGCATGAAAAAGTTAAATTTATGAACAAGAAAGGATGGCAGACAAAGTTTGTCACCATTAAGTGAAGAGTTAAAAAATGTTTTAAGATTTTAAGGAAATATTATATTGGATGATAGTTAAAATCAAATTGTCTTAAAATGTTAGACTACATGGAGGAAGACTAAAAAACACAAACCCTTTTTATTAAAAAGAAAACTTACTTTTTGAATTATGTGGCTTTTTCTCCTTGGGTATATATCTGAATATCTATTCATTTTGAATTCATGCAGCAGACAGTATAAGAAAGCTATTTTTTCTGAATGCATGTGGAAATGTTTTCACAATGAAACTGTGTCCTATGAAGTACACAGTTTCCAGGGTACTTCCACAACATGGCACATGAAGACATTTCCAGTCTAATCCACAATTAGAAAAATAATTCCTCACAAAAATCTAATTGAAAATATGATTGTGCATTAGTAAGTCTAATAGAATTTGTATTTGTAGCCTATAATTAACATTGTGAAATATTTGCTTTGAATATATTATATAAAATGAAGACATCGATACATGTCTAAAAAAATAAATTTCCATTATGGTAATTAATAATATGATAATATAGTAATATATATGGTACCATAAATAATATGGTGATAATATGATAATTATTTTCTATTATTAACCAGAGACAAATAAATCCACAAAAATACACTTCAAAATTTTATTTTATCGTTACCATTTTGCTGGATGGTTAATATAGCATTGGAAACCTTGMTGATACCTATTTAGGCTTTTTTCATGTGAAGTATTTGCTGAACATATGGAAAGGTTTAACCAAATCTTGGTTACTGCTTCTTGCAAAAATAATAAATAGAGTTTATTAAATGCAAACAGCAGAAGATAAAATTTCAGAGATAAGTTAGAAGAGATAAGATTATATATTTTATGGTTTATATCTAAAGACCAAGTGTTATTTCATTTGAAGTTGATGAGAAATTGTACATTTTCATCCAATAAAAAAACCATTAAAGTCTATGGGTTAATTCACCACTCTGCAACTATTAAATGTCAAAAAAAACCACATGAAATTGATAAAACTTAAAAAGYCTTTATACTTCATTAATCTACAAATTGAACAAGAAAAAACTGCACATAAAATAGTACATCCATTYGATGTAGCTGGGTGATGTTGCTTAATGTCCAAGATTTTGATATCCAGATGATTTTAGTACAGATAAATACTTGGTACCAGTAACACGWATGTTTTCAGCTATAAAAAGACCAACGTATTCCAGGAGAGCTACAGCACTGCTAGATCTCCAAGCTACAATGTTAGCAAACATTGCTCTTACATCGTTATGTGCGTTTTCAGACAGTCCGTCACTTAGTAAAAATTTAAAAAGAAAACACACATGTGGAACCCTATGTACCCTTGAAGATCAAGGGCTCAGAGACATGCACAGAACTGAGGTACTGGCCTGCTCGTGATAAAGGAGAGCGCATGGCAGTGCTCAGGCTCCTGCCGGGAGGAATTTGCAGAATCTGCAGGACCCGACAGGGATCAAGGGCCTCTGGGCTACCCGCTCTCCTGCGGGACGAGCAAGGAGGGCTCTCCTCCTCATCTTTCTAAATGCCAGCTTTATTGAAAGGATGGAAGTGACTAATCAAACAGCAACAC